ATTTTACTCAGTTGTTAAGGAAATGTATTCTAAAAGCTATTCGTCTATTAAACTGGGTAACAAATTAATTGGTCACTTTCACACATACAATGGGGTTAGACAAGGCGATAACTTAAGTCCAAACTTATTCAAGATTTACCTTAATGATCTACCTAATTATCTATCAAATTCTGAAAGTTTTGTAAATTAAACAATGATTCATCTACATCTATTCATTGTCTCATGTATGCTGATGACATGGTGCTTCTCTCCCCCACTGCTGAAGGTCTACAAGAAAAACTCAGTATACTAAATACATACTGCAAGGACTGGTATCTCAAAGTTAATACACAGAAAACAAAAATTATAGTCTTCAATTCATCTGGCAAGCACATCAAAATCCCCTTCCATCTGAATAACAACAATATAGAATGTGTTAAACAGTACAAGTATTTGGGTCTGACAGTTAATGCATCTGGAACACTAACTAGTGCTAAAAATGATTGTTGTAATAAAGCAAAGAAAGCCTATTTCAAACTTCAAAAAGACTTTCTCACATTTAATCCATCAGTTAAAACTGCTTTAAATGTATTTGACCACACTATTAAACCCATTATCCTGTACGGTTCAGAGTTATGGGGGTTTTTTGACCCATCAACTTCCAAATTTAAGAGAAATCCAAATATAACATTAGATAAAATATACCAAACTTTAGAAGGCGAAAGTTTGCATCTTAAATTTTACAAACATTTATTAGTGGTTCATAGTAAAAGCAGCAACTTTGCTGTAAGATCTGAGCTAGGACGATTGAATGTACACTTTGATGTCATTAAAAATATGTTGTTATATTGGCATAGATTAGAGAATCTAGATGGGGAATTTCCCTTACTTAGTGAGGCTTATAAATGTTCCAAAACACTACACCAAAATGGAGTTACTTCATGGTATTCTTGTATTAACTTCTTACTTAACCATATTGATATTAAACTTAGTGATGTTTTAGGTATGTCACTCCCACGGTTTAAAATAAACTTGAAAAGAATATTACTTAACTTCTATAAAATTACATGGGAAAAAGACAGGAATTTGCATAAAGAAGGTAAATTATCTACCTTCACATGCCTAAAGACTAAATTTTGTTTTGAACCCTATCTAGATATTTTAACAAACAATCAACATAGATCAGTCATAACTAGGTTACGAATATCAGCTCACAGGCTTAAAATTGAAATTGGACGATATCAAAAAATACCTAAAGATGAACGATTTTGTTCCCTTTGTGATCTCAAGGAGATTCAGGATGAAATTCATTTTCTCCTTGTATGTCCTCATTTTAGTGTACAAAGACTTGAACTTATAAATATTTGTAATAATAAATGTAAAAATTTTCAGTCCCTATCATATGATAATCAATTTCTTTGGCTCATGACTAATGAAGACCCTGAGATCCTAAGATCTCTTGCTAGATTCCTTGATAATCTACCTTAACTGAAAAATTTAAATATATTTGGGGATGTATATACATGTAGGAATGGCAATATATCATCTCTTCTGTTCTTTGATATGGATATATGTATCTTTCCAGCTACTTGACTATATGTTATTATTATATTACAATATGTATACTCGTATACATCTCTTGTAGATGCATTTATCAATGATTATACAATTAAGCACTGCTCATTATATTTAAGATCATGTTTGTTCTATCATTTGGATCTTCCTCCTTCTTTGTTTCATGTTTGTAAATCTTTTTTGCTCCTCCGGGGGCCCAAATTGGACTAATAAATCTTGTATCTTGTATAGTGAAAATGCATTAATTCATTGAAAATCTTCTTCTCTGCTCCTGGGTATTAAATTCAGTAACTAAGTACATAGTTATGATGAGCAAGAGTGCCTCTTTCAAAATTGTGAATTTCATGGCCCCAGGGGCAGGGGTTCTGGTGTTAGGGTGGGGCTCTATTGATTATATAGTGAAAATGCATTAATTCATTGAAAATCTTCTCCCCTGCTCCTGGGTATTAGATAAACTAATTAAGTACATAGTTATGATGAGCAAGAGTGCCTCTTCCAAAATTTTGAATTTCATGGCCCCTGGGTCAGGGGTTCTGGTGTAAGGGTGGGGCTCTATTGATTATATAGTGAAAATGCATTATTTCTTTGAAAATCTTCTTCTCTACTCCAGGGTATTACTGAAACACAGTAAATACATAGTTATGATAATCAAGGATGCCTCTTCCAAAATTGTGAAATTCGTGGCCCCTGGATCAGGGGTTCTGGTGTTAGGGCAGGGCTCTATTGATTATAAAGTGAAAATGTTTTAATTCTTTAAAAATCTTTTTCTCTGCACCTGAGTATTATTTAAACAAACTAAGTACATTGTTATGATAAGCAAGGATGTCTCTTCCAAAATTGTGAAATTCATGGCCCCGGGGACAGGAGTTCTGGTGCTAGGGTGGGGCTATATAGATCCTATAGTCAAAGAGAATTATTTCTTTGAAAACCTTCTTCTCTGCCCGTGGGTATTGTTTAAACAGACTAAGTACATTGTTATGATACGCAAGGATGCCTCTTCCAAAATTGTGAATTTTATGACCCTAGGTTTAAGGGTTCTGGTGAAAGGGGGGGGGGGGGGGGGCTTCTATTGAATATAAAGTGAAAAAGCAAAATTTCTTTGAAAATATTCTTTTCTGCTTCTGGTTAAAAAAGCAAAGAAGCTAAGTGTATAGTTATGATGAGCAAGAGTGCTTCTTTCAGAGTAGTGAATTTTATGACCTCTGGGTCAGATGTGCTGGTGTGAGGGTGGGGCTCTTGATAATATAGTGAAAATGCATTAATTCTATTAAATAATCCTGTTTGCTCCTTAGTGTTAAGCAGATAAACAAAGTGATTAGTTACAATGAGCAAACTTATGGTCCCAGGGTCAGAGGTTCTGGTGTTTGGGGGGGGGGGGGCTCTATTGATAATATAGTGAATCCGTAGTAAAAATTTATTATTATTTCTTTAAAAATCTTTTCCGCACCTGGGTATATCTGAGGTAAATAGAGTAAAAATTTTCATAAGGAAGGGAATTTTTACCAGATTTTTGAACATCTGGACCATTTGGTCAAGTGTTCTGGTCCTGGCCAGGGCTCTATTAGTTTGTATTCTACTGAGAGGAGTTATTCCCCTTTGCCATTTACTTTTGATAATTTATCACTGTAAATAATGTACTTGAAAGGTAAATAGAATAAGAGAATTATGCAAAAACTTTTATTGTATAATACAAAAAGTACTTTCATTGTTTTAATGATCAGATAGACTTGTAAGTAGTAGATAAATAAAAATGAGACAAAAATAACTTGTCTTATTAAATGTTCATCAAAGAGCAAGAGAGGCCAATGTAAGAGATTTCAACAAGGGATTAAAATAGTACAGAAGCATTGATAATTTGTTAATATACTGTATGGTGATAGTGATAAATGGGGAACAGATTAGAACCTAATTCATGAACTGTTAATGAATATTAAGACCAATTATTTTGTTGATCATGATCACCCTATTTTTTTTTCTTTTGGGCAACAAAGCTTCACCTTTCAGTTCATATTATACTCTATGCATCCTTTCAATTATTGTATCATACTCAGGTGACCGTTAAGGCCCTTGGGCCTCTTGTTTCTTTCATTCATGAAAATAATATGTTTCAATTTTCTTACCAACTAATATAAAATGCACAATAATGATAAAATATGAAGTATAAGATTCTCATCCTTATATGCAATTAAACATGGGTATGGATGGGTCAATCTTACTTCTTTGAAATACATGTATCCATTTTTTTTAAAATTCTTTTTTATACATTCAAATATTTCTCACATTTTATCATAATATAATTTTCACAGTCTGCCTCCAAAATATCCAGATTTTACTCCCCCACCCCCTTTTTACTGTATTTTAATTTTTGCTTACTAATGACTCATCAACATTTCTAAACTTTTTAAGACCAAGTGTGTTTTAAAACATTTGAATAATCTTTGGCTGCCCATGTGTTTATGGAATAAATACCATAAGACTATTATGGGGGGGGGGGGGGGGGGGTGTTAATCCTCTCTGTATTTGCAATTTTATTGAAACGATCCAAATATAGGGAAGTGAAATATTATTTTGTCTGTGTATATATATATATATATATATATATATATATATATATATATATATATATATATATATATATATATATATATTACAATTTCCATCCATTGCTCAAAAGATTAGACAGAAATTTACAAAAGTAATATAAAACTATGTATCCAAAAAAAATATATTCAAAAGGAATGGAAAGACACTAAATCTGTTAAACTAATAATTATGTTAACGCATGAAACATTTCAATCAAATATAATAACCTAGAAAAAAAATTTGCAATAGTTATATGAGTTTAGACTGTCAAGTGTTCATTTCTGAAATTTGAATTTTTTATAATAAGCCTAAAGTAAATGTAACAATTTCATGTAATGATGTTATTGTTAACATTGCAAAAATTGTAATGATGAATTCATGTTATGATTCACATTATAGTAGGTTTTGTAGTGTATTGACCTTTTATGAATGAAAAGCATAATGCTCAGTCCTCTATCTTCATTTATAAATACCGTAACAACATTCATCTTAATTAATGAAGCTATTCAGCATGTGCTGAGACTCAGTGTTACTTTTTTAATGTTTCAGGGAATGGACTAGGTGTAAAATATAAGCAGGGGAAATTTTCAGTCGAGAAAATCACTTTATGTGAATATAATTAGAATTATGTATACTTGTATTGATTCCTGGCAGTACATGAATGGGAGAAAAAAATATTGATTATGAAACATCTTGCTGATAGAATACGAGGTCTTTGATAATAAATCTACAAAATGAAATGATTTAATCTACAACTAAAAGAAATCATATTTTGTCTTTAAGGGTACCACCTTTAAATAAATTTTCAAATGCATTCTGTGAGAAAATCTTCAAATTATTAAATAAAAAAATCAATGTTTCAGCACATGGTAATCTGACAGCTAGCATATGGCACAATGAATGAACTGAGGAAGAGCCGTGATATTCCTACCTGTGTGATGGGTCATGTCCAACCACTGATACAAGGTGCCACTACAGCAGGTACCACTCAACAGTATCAAATTTCAGACTTATTGGAATATACATAAAAAAAAGGTCACTTCCAAGAAAGCCGAGAAACAAGATGGGAGATACAAATTACAATTCCTCCCCCAGATCTGATCTTCATTGGTTGTTTGAAAATTTGAGTTGGTGTAAGTTATTTTTACTGAGATATATGGTATACTTAACTGATAAATAAAGGTACTATATAATCTTTTAATCTGTTTTGTTTGTTTTTTTGTTTAATTTATAGATATACTACATGTAGTACTTAATATTGAATTCATAGAATCTATGTCTCTATGCTGGCTTATTTTTATACATTAATATTTTAATATATGAAAGTAGAAAGTTGAAGTTGTATCATTTTTATTTGTGTATGTATTAAAATGCAGGTAAAGTAAAAAAAAAAAAAAAAGGGGGAAAAAAAGAGAAAAAATCCTCAGAAGTCTTTACCACTATTTTAACAACTAAAGAAAATCTTTCCTATGTGTAAATTTCCTTTTCAAACAATACAGTGTATGATTTGTATGAAGCCACTACAACAAATTCAAGACAACACCAATTTTGGATTGTTATATATTTACCTTTTAGTTTCTGTAAGAAGTGAAACATATTCTGTAGCTTTGTGAACCCTGGGGAAAAGTATAGGTCCTAAACAAATTGTTATATAATTAAATGACAGGTTTGTTTCATATTATTAAATTACAGGTTTGTCAAAAAAAAATTAGAACTTTTTTACCAGAATTATCTTAATGAAATTTCAAGGAGATAAAGGTTAATTGGCCCTCTAAGAGAGATAACTCTCATTGGGATTAAAGGACCATTATTCCCTTGAATAATTTTAGAGTTAAAAAGGTGGTTTCTATCAAATGTTTCACTGTAAGATATAAAGAAATTGTTTGCATTTCAATTACAGTGAAATTTTATTATCTCAGAATTGATGGGATGGAGAAAAAACTTAAAGCTATTTGAGGATTTAATATAGTTATGTTAATGTAAAATACATAAAGAAAAAGTTGTCGAGAATTCCATCTTACAGCTGTACTTCAACAACTCTGTGATGGTATTTGAGATGTCAGTGTTCAGAGATACTGAAGTTCAACTGTATCATTTGATTTCTTTTTGAAAAATTATTATTGTTAAAGCAAAATGTCATATTAGTGACCAGGGGGAGGATGACCTTAAGTTTTCACAGCAGGTCAATTTGCCAACTATGTCTCTTAATGTTTTTGTAGATATTGATATTTCTTCAGGATAAAACAAGTAATCAACTGAACAATGTATTGTAAGGAAGTAATGAGCATCCAATTTGTCCAGTTTTGACAACTTTACATATTAGAGATAATGTTTATTTTGAAACAAAATTTGTGTCAAATTATGGCTTTGAGGAAACAAGAGTTAAATCTTAGCATTTGATTATTAAAAAAATAAAATTTACTTATTATTATTATTATTACTTATTACTGTGTAAAAAAAAAAACAAGTATTGAATATTTTGTAAGACTTATTTCTGTTTAAGAATATGTTTCAGCATAGTACTAGTATCTTTTATTCATTTTAGAATACATATTATAGAATACAAATACATGCATGTACTTTGTATTTATTAACCATTTTAAAATGAGTTAAGTACAATGTATGTTCAGAAAATGAGAAAATGACTTCATTGTTTTGTTTGTTGTTTAATGTCCCTCCCGTGAATTTTTCACTCATTTAGAGACGCAACCACTTGACGGTGGAGAGCTGCAAATTTTGACCTATACTCGGCACTCAGGGCCAATGAGGAATCTTTTTCGAGCCAGCACCTACTGCGACACGGGACCGCGGTTTATACGGTCTCACCCAAAAACCGGTCTCCTCGTCCCACAGTGGGATTCGAACCCGCAACGTAAGGATCATATCCTTACTCCGCAACTCTAGAGCAAACGCTCTAACCACTGCACCACGACATATTCATTGTTAAAGCAGTGTGTTATTTACAAAAACCACGAATACCACATTATTTTTTTAATAACAGAATAATTTTTGCCGACAAAATTTTCCTCAGATATTTTTTTATCATAATTTTATGAAGTTCAATAATGAGAACTTTACTCTAAATACTAAATGCACAAACTGATTATGATTTTTATATATCTGAAGCTATAGGCATTTTGTGCGCTTTGTTCACCCATCTCCTTTGAAAAATGAAAATACACATTTTTTAATTGAATTAAATAAATGCAGAGTAAATTAAATTGGAAAATTTAATTTATTGATTTTACAGCCTTGATTAATGTAGCAAAAAATATGGAACGATGCCAACTTAAATGAGCACTGAGGCTCATAAACTCTCTCTTCTAATGGTATGTGATTAGAAAATGACATTCTGAATATGTAATGAGCAAATTTTTACAATATTAAAAACCATTACATAAAATTGCTGGACCAGAATGTGTGGTATTGATGTCTTCTTTGAACTATTAGGTATACTCCATTGATTAGTTCATCACTCTTTTATAGATGTCAATGACCATAATTATCGAGAGTAACAAAGGAGATGTGGGTGGAATCATTTTTGTAACTCGCAGTGTTACAAAATTAGCAATTTCCTCAGATTCTTTTCTTTTTCTCTATTGCTGATTCGGTTTTGGAGAGTATGTGATTGAAAGGTTGTACGATGAAAGATTGTCACAGGATTAAAAAATCAATTCGTGAATATTTTCTAGCCTCTGGGCTTGTCGGGCGCGCACTCCATTATGCCACGTTTTAAACATCAAGACACGACTTTAATATGTTAATTTGAAATTTCATCAGTTTTTCATTGTATAATTATTTATAACACCTACAGACCCTTTTTTGATATCCATTTTTATCGGATTTTCAAAGAAATCGTGCTTGTTTCTTTTATTTTTATTTTATTTTATTTTATTTTGAATTTTTGGGGTTTGTATTTTACGAAAGCCCATTGAGCTCATTTTCGTAGAATAAAAAAAAAACAAGTGATTTTGCGAAACTTAAAATCATAAATTCCGCGTTATATTGCGAATAAATGTGTTCCTTTCACATTGTGGCCTTTTTTTCCGCTAATAAATGCCCAATTTTCACATTATATCGTGAATTTTTCGCTTAGCGATAATATAAACAGTCTAGTCGAACCCCCGAACGGGGGTATACCCCCAAACGAGGGTTTTCCGTCCCGTCATGCAATGCGCAAGAACAGTAACTCTTGCCGTATCCAATATAAACAAACTTGCCTATATATCATTTATCTAAGGAAAAAGATCGATAATCATGTTATTTCTGCTATGAAATTGGTAAAATTTCAACAGAAAAAAATTAACAGTTTAAGTTTTCCATAGTTTGAATTTATACTGTAGGATTAACGAAATATTTTCCGTCATTTCATGAAATTAATTATTATTTTGTAGGACGTCTCAATTAAGATTGTGGAATTTAAAACACAAGGAAAAATATTCTAAGAATGAGGAAAATATTCATTTAGAACCTAGATTTAAATAAAATAAAATACAATCGTGTTTTCTCAAACAATCATATTTATTAATATAAAAAAAACCAAACTACAACAACATGTTGCCAAACATTTTATTTAATTCTTATAAGATATAAAAGACAATAAATACGATAGATTTCATTTGAATTTTATTTTTATATGTATTTTTGTTCCACTTCCTGGGCATGATTATCGATAATAAAGACCGTTGATTGCTAGTCAGAGGAAACGCGGACTGAAACCCACGATAATAAACAATTCGATATTAGCAACATTTTTTCTTGCATTTCATTATGAAAATAAAAGATATAATGTAGAATAATCCTTTTTTTATATAATTTCAATTTAGTATTAGTTGCTTATGTCTGTTTATCGAATGTTTTATCTTAAATACCTGCATGTCAAGGAGCAAAAGATCGCCAACTTTGCCAGTGAATAAATCCCGATTTGTACAATAAAGTTGTATTTTTGTAAAATACAAACTCTAAAAACACCTTTAATCTATCATTTCCGAGTGGTTTTACATTTGCCAAATAATCCGTTACTTTGCACCGGCGATTTTTGTAAACCCCTACTTTTTGCGTGAAATACGCACATTTTTAAGCATCTGCGCATGCTCGTACCCCCGTTTGGGGGTATGGATTTCCCATTTCCGTTTACCCCCGTTCGGGGGTTCGACCAGACTGATAAATTTCGACTATATTGACGCATATTCTTTTTTTTTTAATAGATTAAATGCGATCAATATAATATAACTAAGATGCAATACTTTTTGTATACAACATCATAGGTGTAATTGCTGATACACTCATAAAGATCACTTGAGGCCTGTTATTGCAGGCATTTTTGTGTTTTTATTCTTTCTTTTTTTTTCTTAAAGATTGACCTTCTTCTTCCACCAACTGATAAAAAAATACGTTTGTGACAACTTTATTAGATTACCCCAACTTTAATGTCAGAATATGTTAATTTACCACCCATGTAATTTTTGTATTTATTGCCACCCGATAAATATGAAAGAAAAACCCATTCATAAGGATTGTATGTTATTCGTATTTTTGTACATTATTGTACATGTAACATTAGTATGAGAGATGTGCGTGTTTGTGTAAAATTGAAGATCTAGTTCGGTATGAAATTACATTTCATTGAAAGTGACAGTAATTAAATGAACATCAGCATTAAATTTAATAAGTTTAATTATAAACTGTTATACTTTGTTTGATGTGAAAATGTTTATACTGCGGTATTTAGATGATTATGCATATACTGTATTTATATGATATGTGACCAAAAGAGCTAATGTGATAGTAGCTTGTCCAATCGTCTATATGTCCGTCTTTTAACAATTTTTCAGAATGATAAGAGTTTTACTTCTGCGGTTTGGTCCGATGCGTTAGTAAAGTACACAAAAATATGTACATTTATGTACATATTTTTGTGTTTCATATTTAGATGTCGGCAAATCGTTGTTGTAATGGTTTGTGAAAATAAAATCTTTCAGAACGTCTTCACGGTTTTTGATCGATTTCAATAAAACTTGGTACTACAGTATATATATCACAGAAGAACAAAAATTGTTTAGTTTCGCCTTATAATTTCGATGAACAGTGTTGAAATGGTTACTAGTAATAGATATGTAATAGGGTTCGTTGAATAATTTAAAAACGCAGTTGATCCTTGCTTCATTGTTGTATTTTATTAAATAATAGTAACCATGGTAACAGTAGAGTAGTATAATATAGTAGACCCTGTAATAACAATAACAATTATTAGACAAGCTAAAAATACACATTTAACTCCATTATAGTATATCATCATTATAATAAATCTCATACTTTATAATTCATATTCTCTTTAAATTAAATTGATATAAAAATAATTACCACTTCTTTATCACAGATCAATTTATCATAAAAATATTTCCTTTATTAATTTAGTCATTTAAAATAAAAAATCATAATAATTATCAAAAATCATTATCTGATATTAAATAATTCTAAATCAAATAATCTTATGTGATTTCATATTGAACATTAACACAAATACAATTTCATGCATTGGACATAACACACATGAAATTTAATTCAACATAAAATATAGACATGCATGACAAATACTCAAAAATAAGTTCTGTCAACACATACATATAATGGAACAACACATAAACATAAAACACATAAATTACCTTTAATATGGTCAAAAGGTCTGGATTATATACTAGCTGTTACACATGTAGCTGTGACAGTCCTATAAGGAATGCATAACAATGAGTAATCTCCCTTAGCTGCTTTAAAAATCTTTAATAATAATAACTGCTTTATTTAATGAAAAATACCTATGCTTTTAAATTTGAAGAATTATTTAAATTATATGAAACAAAAGATAAAATTCCTAATTTTACTATTAATCACATTACAGTTATACAAGTTAATTATAAAAAATAGTTTTACAACTTTAGACTTATTTATTCATTTCACTCAGTCCTACATATATACAATTTAATTCTTGAATTAGAGTGAAATGTCTGATAAAATATTTATACTGCTCATTTACACAATCTCTCAAACTTGCATTCACCATTCAAACACCTTTTTCACTCACTTTCACATAAACATACAAAATCACAATCATACATGAAAATAATATAAAGAACAGACCTGAAATTCTGGAATTAAACAATCAAAGAAAATAAACTGCTACTCCCCAAAAATGTATGAAATCAGGAACATCAAGACATCCTCTCAGTTTGAACACAAAGACTGGTATGACCAGTTCTAACCAAAAATACACTGCCCACAAAGAGATTTCCCTCCAAAAACCCCGACCAATGAAATCTCACTGATGGGTCACTTCATAGGTCACTGACCTCTCAAAGTTTATTACTATAAATACTATAAGGGAAACATATTTATTTATACTAAAGTAATTCCTAAATAATTGTATCTTCTAAAGTATAATATACCTTAAATAAATAATAAATTCCTGAAATATAAATAAGTGAAATTAAATAAATTTCCTGTAAATAATAATGTCACAATTATTTTGTAGATGATAATACTAAACCTGTCAAATAAACACAAAATCTAAAATACTAAAACTATATACACTTTTCAAATATTTACACTTCACCACATATTCCCCCCAGGTGGCAAATGACGTCCTCGTCATTCTAACCGTGGTCAATTATGTTAAGTATAGTTGCTGCTACATCTTTCTCCATCCCTGAAAATAAATTGGTATTAGAAACAAGACTTTGTATACAATTTATTTTTTCCTCCCATGGTGACTGCACCAATGACTTTGTTATATACTTGCCTGAAGAATACCACTCTGGTGGTTTTCTTACCCTTTGCGATCTTCGTAATGTTACGGATGTTTCAGGTAAGGGTACCTCTTCCTGAACATCTTCAGTTTCTGTCTCCTTAGGTTCTTTAGCATCTTCCTGATTGTCTTGTACTACTTCTTTGTTCTCTTGTATAATCTCTTCATTCTCCTGTATAATCTCTTCGTTTTCTTGGATATCCTGTGATTTTTCTTCTATAATCTGTGGTTTCTCTGGTGTAACCTGTGGTTTCTCTGTTGTAATCTGCTGATCAGCATTATCCTTATCATCCTTCTTTAAAAATTTTCTCGTCCTGACTGATGTTTTAACCTCATATGTTTCATCTTCAGAAGAAGACTCAGAAATTGACTGGGAATCAGTCACTGAATTCTCTCTATCTGTGATTTCTTTCTTCCTTGTCAGCCTGGTTCGTGGCTTAGGGATGGGTTTGTCCTGCGGTGGAAAATTTGTTGATTCTGATAAATAACCAATAGGTAAAAGTAAATTCCTATGTAAATTTCTCTTCTTTCCTGATCCATCTTCTCTAATAACTGTATAAACTGGGATGTCTTTGTTGGGTTGCTCTAGTATTACATAAGGGGTATCCTCCCACTTGTCTGAAATTTTATGTTTTCCTTCGAATGCCAAAATTTTAACTAAAACCCTGTCTCCTTTTTGTAAAGATATTCCTCTTGCCTTAATGTCGTATGTTGTCTTTTGTCTCATCTGTGCTTCTTTTGCATTTTTTTCTGCTAATTGATATGCGCTAGCAAGTCTTTCCCTTAAGTCACTTATGTATTTGGTCTTGGATTCTTGATTTTCTTTTCTTATCCCAAAGGCAACGTCTATCGGTAGTCTCGGATTCCTCCCGAACATTAAAAAATAAGGTGATACTCCTGTAGTTTCGTGTTTTGTACAATTGTATGCATGAACAAGTGATGGTACATATGATTTCCAGTCATTTTTCTTTTCTTTTTCCAATGTTCCCAACATATTTAGAAGTGTTCTGTTGAATCTTTCGCACATGCCGTTTCCCATGGGGTGGTAACTGGTCGTTCTAGATTTCTTCATTCCTGTTAATATGCAGAGTTCTTTTATAATGGCACTTTCAAAGTTGGTTCCTTGATCCGAGTGTATCCTTTCTGGTATCCCGTAATGTACTATGAAGTTTTCAAATAAAGCTCTTGCTGTTGTTTTAGCTGTTTGATTGTGAGTTGGAATGGCTTGTGCATAGCGAGTAAAATGGTCAGTTATGATGAGTATGTTCTCTTGTCCTCCTTTAGATTTTTCCAGGCTCAGGAAATCCATACAGACAAGTTGTAAAGGAAAACAGGTCTCGATGCTTATCAGTGGAGCTCTCTGGTTTACTGGTGTTTTTCTCTTAACACATCTTCCACATGAATGTATCCAGTCTTCTACATCTCTGTCTATTCCTGGCCAGTAAAATCGCTCTCGTACTAATGATAATGTTCTATCTTTCCCAGGGTGTCCCATATCATTGTGTAGTGCTTTCAATACTGTATTTATATGATCTGATGGTAGAACTAGCTGTTTCTTGTTTTCCTCATTGTAGATAACCTCTCTGTACAAAATATCATTCTGCAATTTAAGATGATGAAATTGTCTGATGTAAGGTGATGGTCCAATTTCTGCAACTGTTGGTTTTCTGCCTAACTTAACGAAATGAATTATTTTGTCTAATTCTGGGTCTACCTTCTGTGCTTTTGTCCAGTCTATTATCTCTTTGTCCATTGTAACTGTTCCATCCTCTTCTAAATTTACTGATGTTGACAAGTTTTCAATGTAAGGTCCAGAAATCCTTGAGTTACAGATAGCCTTGACTGAATCTAATGATATTGACTCCATGTTTACAGGTGGTGAGATTCTACTAAGTCCATCAGCGTCATTGTTCTTCTTCCCTGGTCTATACAAGATGTTGAAATTAAATGCTGATAATGTGGCAAGCCATCGGTGTCCTGTGGCATCTAATTTGGCTGTCGTTAGCACGTACGTCATTGGGTTGTTATCTGTCAGCACTGTAAAATCCTGTCCATAAAGATAGTCCTTAAATTTGTCACATATGGCCCATTTCATGGCAAGAAATTCCAATTTATGTGGGGGGTATTTAGCCTCTGACTTTGTCAGTCCTCTGCTTGCATATGCCACTACTCGCTTCATTCCATCCTGTTGCTGATACAAAACTGCTCCAAGTCCTACTCCGGATGCATCGGTATGAAGCTCAAACGGAGAATGGCTGTCAGCATATGCCAGAATTGGTGCGGATGTTAAGTGATGTTTCAAAGTTCTAAAGGCTTCTTCCTGTTTTTCTCCCCATTCCCATTTCTTTCTGTTTGCTTTCTTAGTTTTCTGCTTCTGTGGAGTTGGCATAAGATCTGTAAGCGGCTTACTTACCTTGCTAAAATCTTTGATAAATCTTCTGTAGTATCCTACAAAACCAATGAACTTTCTTACCTCCTCTGGATTTTTCGGTGTAGGCCATTTGTTGACTTTTTCTGTCTTTTCCGGATCGATTTCAATACCCTCGGATGAAACAATATGTCCTATATACCTTACCTTGTCCTTGAAGAAACTGCACTTTTCTGGTGATAACTTCAGATTGGCCTGTTGTATCCTAGTAAGTACTTTCTCTATGTTTTCTAGATGTTCTTCAAATGTTCTTCCAAATATAATGATGTCGTCAATAAATATGCAGCATATGTTCAGATGGTAATCGTGTAGAATATTCTCCATCATGCGTTGGTAAGTTGCCGGTGCATTTGTTAGTCCGAACGGCATTCTCTCGTACTCGAAAAATCCTAAAGGGCCAACTGTGAATGCTGTCCTTTCTTTGTGGCTCTCTTTGATCTCTATCTGATGGTATCCACTTTTCATATCAATAATACTGAAGTACTTGCTGCCCTCTAAACAATTGAAAATTTCTTCCATTCTTGGTAAAGCATAGCTGTCTTTCTTAGTGATCTTGTTGAGTTGTCTGTAATCCACACATAGCCTTAGTGTTCCATTTTTCTTTCTCACCAGAACAACATTGGATGCCCAAGGACTATGGGAAGGTCTAATCATGCCTGTTGTTAAAAGTTGTTGTATATGTTTCTTGACTTCATTGTACATGGATGGTGGTATACTCCGATATCGTTGTTTAAACGGTTTCTCATCCAGTAAATCAATTCTATGTGTGACCTGATCTGTATGTCCTATATCACTGTCACTGGTGGAAAATATATCTCTGAATGACTCTATGAGTTGTTTTCCTCTCTGATATTCTTCATCTGATAACTTTGATTTCATAATGGTAATTTTCTTCATGACATCTATATCTGCCGTCTCAATTTTCTGTGGCATTTCTTCTATTGTGACAGGTTGTACTTCGCAGATGACTGCTCTAGGTGGGATGTTGATTGTTCTCGTTGTCACATTTGAAACGCAGACATTGATGATTTGTTTGGCATTGAAGTCATAATCTATCAGCTGCGGTTCCACATCTAAATCCTGATAGCAGTAGGAGTCTTCTGATGATTGTAGAATACATGTTGTATTGAAGTAAGGAATTTGTTTGTACATTTCTCCTGGAATTTCCATGACTGAATTTGGCTGAATAATTATCGGATGATGAGATGTATTTCTGATCAAAGCCAAAGTGTTGTTATTCCTGTTGAGCTCTTTTTCCCGAATTGTGATGCATCTAAAAGCCAAATACCATGATGTTCTCAATTTAGAATTTTGTAGATATTTGTTGCCATGTTGTTCTTTGAGTTTATCCATGATGGTCAGAAGAATATTGGTGCCTAGTAAAATGGGAACCTCTGAACTGTAGTTGCTAGTTGGTGTCACAAGAAGAAGTATGGGAAAATTTTCCTGTAAATCTGGAATTTTGATTTCAAGTTCAATGTAGCCTAAATAAGGAAGCTTTTCTCCACTTGCGCATTCAATGTCTAAAATGTGTGTCAAATCTTGTAATTTTGTATCCTTTAAATTTTTTCTGTAGTAATTTTCTGATACTGTGGAGACTGTTGATCCAGTATCTAGCAAACATTTAACAGGTTGATGGTTGATAAATATTTCTGCTTCTGTAGGCTCACCAGTTAATCCTGCTGGCACTCTGTTTGTAGGACCTAGTGCATAATTTAAGCCTATCGGCGGCCCTGTTCCATAGGCTTCTTCATGTTTAAATTCCTGCGTGTGTGGTCAATTTTCACTCTACAGCCTAATTTTATATGGCCATACTGTCCACAGCGAAAGCACTGTACTTCATCCATGCCATGCGTTCTCGGTGTTGGTGGTCTCCTCTGGTTAAATTGAGATTGAAATGGTCTATATTGTCTAATCTGCTGTTCTTGTTGTAGAAATCTTGGTTGGTATTGATTACTTTGTGGAAATCTTTGTCTGAATTGTTGATCTGGTCTTATATATTGATGTTTTGATGAATTTGGACCTTCCTGTCTTCCTGGCTGTTTCGTTGATTCACATTTGTCCATCCTGACCGAGAGTTGTTGTATCATCCCTTTGATTTCCTCCATATCTGATTCATTGGAAATAGATGATTTGGCAATTTGCTTATTTCCTATGGCGGATACTCTTGAAACTTGGTCCATCTCAATTTGTCTAAGTGCTACTCGTAAACCATCAAAATCTTCTATCGCATCATACTTGTGGCCACTGATATCTTTCAATGATGGCTTCAGTCCTGTCCATAACATTGATCGTAGCATACTATCCATAGCGTTCCTTCTAACTATTCCTTGAATAACAGCCTTGCCTAAAATGTCTTCTAGGCGACAACTCCACGCAGTAACGGTTTCATCTTCTTTTTGTCTAGCTCCGTAAAAATGAGCAAGGATATCTTCTTTCTTTTCTATATCTCCAAACACACTGTCCATTTTCTGCAATATTTCCTCAATAGAAGCTTCAGGGCCTATCCTCATCTGAACTCTTCCTGCTTCTCCTTTCAGAGATCGTCTAATCGATTGAAGTATCAATGGACGTGGATATATCTCCTCCCTCAACAAACAACTGACCTCATATCTCCAAAGGTCATATGATGTTTCATTCTTATTCATACCTCCTGAGAATATAGAAATTTTTGGTGGTTCCTTTAGAATACTTGTAGTGACTGTTTCTGTAGTTGACACAGGAAATGGACTACTAGTATCGCTATCTCCTTTCATCTTAAGCTTCTTTGGTTTAACTAACGGAGGTGGTAAGAGAGGTGGTATGCTAGTCTGTGGTTCCTTTTTAATTGCACTTGGTGAAAGAGTGAAATGTTTTATTTTCTCTCCTGGATGGGCATCTGCCTTTTTACCTCCAGTTAATAGTTCTCCAGACTTCATCAAGTACTCTTGCATCCATATTTTCAAATCATCTGGGTTGCTAACTTTTGGCATCTCTTTTAACTCTTTGAGGGTTTTTAACAAGTTTGCGTATTCATCCTCCTTGGAACCTTTCTCTGGTGATTCATTTAATTCCAGGCTCTCTTCCTCAGTACCTTCAATTTCATCGCTTTTTTGATCCTTTCCAGTTGCCATGATGTATTGTAGTTGAAATAATTGTGTATTCAAAACACGAAAACGCGTTGTACATGTACACTCGAGCAATATCACGTGAAACACAAAATAAAGTTGTAAGTCGTAATTAAATTCTAAATAAATTTAAATAAACTAAATAAATAGACTTAATTAAGTTGACTATTTATATGCTGAAAAAAAAAATTAAACCTGAAATTCAAATTTGATTAAATGTCTTATCAAGCTAAATAACTAATTATATTTCAATCTAAATGATACTACGAAAACTTAATGCGGATAATTGATGCCAGACTCAAATTGATCAGAAATTTAACCTACTTACACCAAACAGAACTAAATACAACACTACAACACAACTCCTTGGACAACAAACCACTGAACTTCAAATCACAACTTCAAACAAAATACAACTGTGTGCAAGCAAGATGTGTGTATGTTTCCTTTCAAACAACACTATCTCTCAACCTATCTGAAATCCCTGATGACTTATACTCCTATTTATTTCATTTAATAAATGTTTTGTTTTCAAAAATAAATTAATAAATAAATGGCTTATCTAAATACAAAAAAAAATGAAGGGAGAAAGAAAGAAAAAAAATGTAAACAAACACACTTCCGGTACCGTGACCTTGACCTTGACTTAATTCAGAAAACACCAAAAACTCGAGTATGACTATGCAAGTAAAATAAATACACAACAAACTCTTACCATGTTGTCTTTAGAGTCAAATATACACACTAAACACACAATAATGTTTCTGCAGAATAGCAAGTAATTGTATGCATACAGTAAGTTTTGTATAGGCCTAGATTAATAATGTAAACACAATTCGTTGACACTAGTGCACTTTGACGACGAAGAATTCTGTCTGGTTTAGAATATGCGTACGCAGAGATCTATTCTACATGTAAATATAGCACTACAGCTAAGTATATTTACCAGAAGTAGAACATCTTAATGTCTCGATCCCTCCGGAGATGAATATCGACGATGAACAGAATTATTCCAGCGTTGAAAAGAAGGAAAACACAAGTTGTCAAATCTCTGTGATGGTTCACACGCTATTTTCACTTTCCGGTGTTGAGCGTTGAATTCCGATCCCGATCTAAATACCAGTCGACATCAGATGATCCAGGACTGCAGTAAACATCACGTTGGGCGCCAAAATGTAATAGGGTTCGTTGAATAATTTAAAAACGCAGTTGATCCTTGCTTCATTGTTGTATTTTATTAAATAATAGTAACCATGGTAACAGTAGAGTAGTATAATATAGTAGACCCTGTAATAACAATAACAATTATTAGACAAGCTAAAAATACACATTTAACTCCATTATAGTATATCATCATTATAATAAATCTCATACTTTATAATTCATATTCTCTTTAAATTAAATTGATATAAAAATAATTACCACTTCTTTATCACAGATCAATTTATCATAAAAATATTTCCTTTATTAATTTAGTCATTTAAAATAAAAAATCATAATAATTATCAAAAATCATTATCTGATATTAAATAATTCTAAATCAAATAATCTTATGTGATTTCATATTGAACATTAACACAAATACAATTTCATGCATTGGACATAACACACATGAAATTTAATTCAACATAAAATATAGACATGCATGACAAATACTCAAAAATAAGTTCTGTCAACACATACATATAATGGAACAACACATAAACATAAAACACATAAATTACCTTTAATATGGTCAAAAGGTCTGGATTATATACTAGCTGTTACACATGTAGCTGTGACAGTCCTATAAGGAATGCATAACAATGAGTAATCTCCCTTAGCTGCTTTAAAAATCTTTAATAATAATAACTGCTTTATTTAATGAAAAATACCTATGCTTTTAAATTTGAAGAATTATTTAAATTATATGAAACAAAAGATAAAATTCCTAATTTTACTATTAATCACATTACAGTTATACAAGTTAATTATAAAAAATAGTTTTACAACTTTAGACTTATTTATTCATTTCACTCAGTCCTACATATATACAATTTAATTCTTGAATTAGAGTGAAATGTCTGATAAAATATTTATACTGCTCATTTACACAATCTCTCAAACTTGCATTCACCATTCAAACACCTTTTTCACTCACTTTCACATAAACATACAAAATCACAATCATACATGAAAATAATATAAAGAACAGACCTGAAATTCTGGAATTAAACAATCAAAGAAAATAAACTGCTACTCCCCAAAAATGTATGAAATCAGGAACATCAAGACATCCTCTCAGTTTGAACACAAAGACTGGTATGACCAGTTCTAACCAAAAATACACTGCCCACAAAGAGATTTCCCTCCAAAAACCCCGACCAATGAAATCTCACTGATGGGTCACTTCATAGGTCACTGACCTCTCAAAGTTTATTACTATAAATACTATAAGGGAAACATATTTATTTATACTAAAGTAATTCCTAAATAATTGTATCTTCTAAAGTATAATATACCTTAAATAAATAATAAATTCCTGAAATATAAATAAGTGAAATTAAATAAATTTCCTGTAAATAATAATGTCACAATTATTTTGTAGATGATAATACTAAACCTGTCAAATAAACACAAAATCTAAAATACTAAAACTATATACACTTTTCAAATATTTACACTTCACCACATTTCGATGAACAGTGTTGAAATGGTTACTAGTAATAGATATGTGTGAACATCTTTCAAAATGCTACAACAACCTCCCCCTTTACAGTTTTTGTTAAATTTCATTGAAACTTGATTCTATTATTGATCATGCCATGGCTATTTTGTTTTAAGTCAAGATGCAAATTTTCTCTTTCTGTATCATTAGTACGAACTATTGTAGCTACAGTTTTTCAGAAATTTGTCCTTTCTTTCGTCTTTTTTTTTTATTTGGAGTTCTAAAAAGCACTGGCTGAATTTAAAACTGGACAAATCGTTTTCAAATGTCATAGGAGGAAGATGATACGGGGCGAAAATAACCCTGTATAACATTATAAAAAGTATACTCTATTTTGCATAGGTGAATAAATAATATATTTGCACTTTTGAAACAGACTTAGCCTTATTCAGTAAGGTACTGTAAACCACTCATTATTCGCGTCATCTTTTATTCGCGAATTTTGCAAGTTTGACTGTTCTAATTTTCGCGACTGAGTAAATATTTAACATGAATACACAAGGAAATATTTTTTTCACTTAGAGAAATATTGGCGAGAAAAAGAACGTCGCGAAACTCGCGGATATTTCTCGCACGCGAAAAAAAGTTAATTTACAGTATACACCATTAGCTGGTGGATGTTATAAAAATATTAACGTCAACAATACCGGTAGTTCTCGCCCTAAATACGCTAATTTATTAATTTTATACATCTACGTGGTTTATCGGATGCAAAACTGTTTCCCTAATTTTTGTGAATTGTTAATGCCATAAATAAAATGAGTCCAGAATATGCCCACAGCGAAATAATATACAGAAACTAATTTACCATTAGTATTACCCATAATATTTTTCAATATTTTTTTCTGCATGCATTGTTTATGTATTATTTAACTTATTTTATCTCCGATGCTTCCCCAGCCTAAGCAATCCAAATATCTTCGGAATGTTTTGCTCATTAAAATGTAGCCCTACTACTGTTGAAATACTTTATTTTTTATCTCAACTGAACATAAAACTCAAGTAAGCTTCTCTGAATACATTTTGTTTGACATCCATCTGAAAACTTTTGATATTTTTGACCCTCTCCAGAACCATCTGGCTAAGTCCAACCATGCAAACATGCCATATAGCATCCTTAGGTGGGATTCAGGATTCTTCAAATGAAGATTCACTTCGACATTCAAGGCAAGATAATGAAGAATTAGTGAAAATTTGATGGCATTTTTTTTTAGCTCACCTGAGCTGAAAGCTTAAGTGAGCTTTCCTGATCACATTTTGTCCGGCGTCCGTCTGTTTGTCCGTCTGTCTGTAAAAATTTCACATTTTCGACTTCTTCTCAAGAACCACTAGGCCAATTTCATCCAAACTTGGCACAAAGTATCCTTGGGTAAAGGGGATACAAGTTTTTTTTTCAAATGAAGGGCCACGCCCTCTTTCAAGGGGGAGATAATTAGGAATTAGTGAAAAATAATGGCATCATTTAAAAATCTTCTTCTCAAGAACCACAGGGCCAGGAAAAATGAAACATGTGGATGCATCCACCGGTAGTGTAGATTTAAGTTTATATTTAAATCATGACCCCCGGGGGTAGGGCGGGGCCACAATGGAGGATCAAAGTTTTACATAGAAATATATAGGAAAAATCTCTAAAAATCTTCTTCTCAAGAACAGCAAAGCCATGATGAGTCATATTTATATGGAAGCATCCTCAGGTAGTGTAGATTCAAGTTTATTCAAATCATGACCCCCGGGGGTAGGGCGGGGCCATAATGGAGGATCAAAGTTTTACATAGAAATATATAGGAAAAATCTCTAAAAATCTTCTTCTCAAGAACAGCAAAGCCATGATGAGTCATATTTATATGGAAGCATCCTCAGATAGTGTAGATTCAAGTTTATTCAAATCATGACCCCCGGGGGTAGGGCGGGGCCATAATGGAGGATCAAAGTTTTACATAGAAATATATAGGAAAAATCTCTAAAAATCTTCTTCTCAAGAACAGCAAAGCCATGATGAGTCATATTTATATGGAAGCATCCTCAGGTAGTGTAGATTCAAGTTTATTCAAATCATGACCCCCGGGGGTAGGGCGGGGCCATAATGGAGGATCAAAGTTTTACATAGAAATATATAGGAAAAATCTCTAAAAATCTTCTTCTCAAGAACAGCAAAGCCATGATGAGTCATATTTATATGGAAGCATCCTCAGATAGTGTAGATTCAAGTTTATTCAAATCATGACCCCCGGGGGTAGGGCGGGGCCATAATGGAGGATCAAAGTTTTACATAGAAATATATAGGAAAAATCTCTAAAAATCTTCTTCTCAAGAACAGCAAAGCCATGATGAGTCATATTTATATGGAAGCATCCTCAGATAGTGTAGATTCAAGTTTGTTCAAATCATGACCCCCGGGGGTAGGGTGGGTCCACAATGGAGGATCAAAGTCTTAAATAGAAATATATAGGAAAATATCTTCTTCTGAAGAACTGCAAACCATGATTAGTCATTTTGATATGGAAGCATCCTCAGGTAGTGTAGATTCTATTTTGTTCAAATGATGACCCCAAGGGGTAGGGTGGGGTCCAATGGGGGATCGAAAGTTTTTACATAAGAACATATAGAAAAAATATTTCTTCTCAAGAACAGAAAAGTTATGTTTAGTTATATTGATATGGAAGCATCCTCAGGTAGCGTAGATTCAAGTTTGTTCAAATGATGACCCCCGGGATAGGGAGGAGCCACAATGGGGGATCAAATTTTTACAAAGGAATATATGGGAAATTTTTAAAATCTTTTCAAGTACAACAAAGCCATTTGTTATATTGACATGGAAGCATCATCAGGTTGTTTAGAATTCAAGTCCCCCCCCCCCTGTAATCTTTTCAATACTGAACTGATTTGTGCTTTTGCCTAGCCAATGTGCTCAGGTGAGCGATGTGGCCCATGGGCCTCTTGTTATCTCTTATTCTCAAATATCACTGTATCAGAATAGATGAAACTTAAATATGTAAGCTTCCTGACATAATGGAGACTAAATTTGCAAAAATAATGGTCAATGCGAGTATATTAGGAAAATATATATTTTAAAATCTGGAGAACAGCAAGGTCTTGATAAGTCATTTTAATATGAAAGCACCCTCAAATAATGTACATTCAAGTTTGTTTAAATCGTGGTTGAGGGACACAGCAGGAGATCAAATTTTTACATTGGAATCAATAAGAAACAAGATGTGTTTGTGAAACACTGATGCCCCCGTATGGCAACTTATAGCAAAGGTTAAACTTTCTCAAATGCATTTCAAACATGTTGGTACCCAAAATAAGGTCTTGTCTCGAGGAATATACCTGTGAAATATGAAAGCCCTAGCAGCAACCATTGAAAACTAGTAGATATGGAAAAGGTTAAAGTTTTTCAAAAGTAAGTTAAACATCAAGGTCAAATGGTCAAAATCAAAGATGCTCAAGGAATTGCCTTCTCACAAGAAATACACATGTCAAATATGAAAGCCGTAGTTCCAATCGTTCAAAAGTTATAACCGTTCACGGTAGCTCAGTCGGTAGAGCGCTCGCTCCGTGATCGGGAGGTCGTATGTTCGAATCTCGGCCACGACAGACCTAAGTCGATAAAAAAATAGGTAGCAACTGTTCCTTCGCCATGCGCTCGGCACTCTGAAGTGAAAGTTGCGGGTCCTTCGGATGAGACCTTAAAAACCGAGGCCCCGTGTCACGGCAGGCGTTGGCACGATAAAGATCCCTCACTGCTCAATGGCCCTGAGTGCCGAGTAAGGTCAAAATTTGAAGCCCTTCACCGGTATATGGTGACGTCTCTATATGAGTGAAAAATTCTCGAATGGGACGTAAAACAATATACAATCAATCAATCAAAAGTTATGGCCAAGGTTTAAGTTTTTTTTCAAAAGTAGGTCAAACTCCAAGGTCATGGTCAATGGATTGGTATCCAAAGGAAGGTCTTGTCACAAGGAATAGACATGTCAAATTTTAAAGCCCTAGCACCAACCGTTCAAAAGTTATGTCCAGCGTTAAACTTTCCAAAAGAAGGTCAAAGGGTCAAAGTCGATGGTATCCTAAGGAAGATCTTGTCACAAGAATTACATATGTGAAGTATAGCCCTAGCACAACCGTTCAAA